GGGTTGTTGTTGTGGGGAAAATAGGAGGAGGAAGGAGTATTAGGTATGTTCGCCACCTTGAGTCATTTATAAAAATAATAAAGGTGGGATAAAAAATCTAAAAAACCCCCTCACCTCTTCTGTAATAATGAACTGCAAATGTAGCAGTAGGCAAAGATGGCAATGTTTTATTTGACTATCTCTAGCAAGTGTGAAAGAAAATAAATATTAATAAAATTAATATGTCATTAACTTGTAAACGGGAGTGGGAGAATAAAAATGACAAATGGAATAAGTCATCAGAAAAAATTGAAAAATAAAGATTTACAACTCAGACTAAGAAAATGTGCTTAACTAAAATTTCTGGAAAACCTATGAACCTTGGCAACCTGTTGTCTGCTGCCAATCAAAAAGAAAATGGAGGGCAGAGGGGATAAAGCTACAAGTGTAATTCTAGACTCTCAACATATAGGTCACTAAAGAAAAGCCCAACAAAAGTCCTGGAAATGAGTTTGGAGCTTCTTGGGAAAGATGAACCTGGCTCATTCATCTAGAGATTCTGGCCTGGAATGGTAAAAAATTGAGCTCTTTGGAAAGACATGGCTGACTGTTTTGGTCACCTGAGCCCACTGCAATCCCCCCAAAAGAGGAGGAAGTTGATAGGTCATTCTTTAACCATCAGAAAGGCAAATACTTTGGCAGAAACAGCTACTTAATGGCTACTTCCCTTCTCCATTCTCCCCACAACAGAAACCTCTCTGGCTTGATTTTCTCCCAAGTGAAAAGCAAGACTGGGAAAAAACTGGATTTTGGAGGGGGAAAGTATCCTGGGGGAAGAGAGTGAGGAGAACAGAAAGGCCAGGGAATCATCTGCTTTCTTCTGCTAATGCTCCCACTCTCATACAGCCATTATTCAGCAAGCACATCAAAGTCAAGCAAGATTCATTAGGACATTGGAGCAAAGCATCTACAAGAAATAAAAGAAAAAGAATCTATTCTGGGATATATTTACTCTAGTTTAATAAGACCTTACTGATATTTTGAGATACTTTGAGTTGAGTCAAAGTCTAGTGTGGATATAGCTTTGCCCTTAAAATTTCATTCACCAAGCATTTGTCCTTCTACTAGACAGCACTATAAATGTATTGTTAGAAAATGATCCTCCTTTTGGAAGTATAATTATTGAGTACAAAATATATTGAAATACATGCAAAGAAATTAGTGTTCTTCTAAAATTTAGAATGTGAATCGGAGGAGCAGATACAGGAAGCAATTGGGACAAAACCAGCGCAGTTCAATTTTAAAAATAATTTTGTAGTAATTGTTCACAAAAATTATTACTAGATTATTTATTTAACCATTTGTAGCCTTAACAAATTTTGCGTATACTTCAATAATGATACTGTGCTGGTGGAAATTAGTTCTATTCATGCAAAGCACATGACTTTCACCCCTTTCCACCAACTAATTTATTGAAACTCTGTCATCTGTCACTCAGCTACAATAGAAAAAAAAAATCAGTGTGATTAGTGTAAGTTACAAAAAATGTAAAGAAGATCTATGCAAAGTCACTTTGCTTTTCTAGAAATACTGGTGGAAAAATCTTCTATGCTTGCTCACCCACATGCACTTCAACATGGTTCTGCCATCCTGCACCTTCAGTGAGCAGCCTCAGAGAGGCATTTTTTTCAGTGCCTTGATCAAAGACCCTTTTTGAGGCTTCACACAGCTTAGTAAATAAGTAAAGAATAATCTATTATTTTGTCTTGTGCTTGAGTTATACAGAAAGGACTAAAAATCAGCATAAAATATTACTTGGTGAATACTTGTGTTGCCCCAGTTTTACAAGGCTTAACGGAGGGCCAGAGATTAGAAAATTAGGCCCAGCGGAATAATAGAAAAAATCCCAGTTCGAGCTTCAACAACTCCCATCATAGAGGTATTACAAATAACCAATGTTTCTTCTCCCAATCTCTTTCAAACCAGTTTAAAATGCATCCAAAATTGAACTGGACTGTTTTGCCTATTTGCACTTTCACTTGGATGAAGTCTAATACTTGCAAATCTAGAGCTCACCAAAAATTACAACTTAATCTTAGCCTACCTCTTGTTAGGTAGGACATGCAACACACATATTTGCATCAATCATATATATCCACTATGTCACTGTAGCCCTTTAACAGCATTGTAAAATAATGCTTTGAAACTTGTATGTAATGGATCAGCTTGTCTAACATCCTACATGACAGCCATACTTAACACTTTGACTAGATGCAAAGGACTCAATGCATGGGATGATGATATAAAATGAGCGTGATCAAGTCAGTCACATGAGTGGGGGGATACTCTGCCTCTTTCCTCAATTTGGAGGGAGAATAGACAGCTTTGGTATTTTTCTTTGCTTTTTCAAAGGCAAAGGTGTAAAGTTATTTTACGGGTTACGCTAAAATTTTTGTTTCGTGCCTCAAATAGGTGGAAAATGACACCCGTTTCCCAGCAATCACACTGCTGAATTTTGGAGACGGCTCTGGAGCTGGAGGACTACATGAGACCTTGAATGTACAGGTTTATCATCCTGCTTTAGATCATTCCAAAATAGTTTGTGTCCTAAATTCAACAGAAATCAGAGGGTCATTCCACCTCCATTCACTCAACCATGTCAGGCCGTGACAGGAGGTAATTTTGAGAAGTGCAATCCCTGTACATCTAGAAGGAGCCAAGATGGGGCATGTTCTAAGGCATGTTTAAAATTTTAGTTAGAGGAATCATTTTCCATTGCATATATATTCAGAAACAATACATGCCCAATTACTATGGTGCACGTATAAGAGTATGCTATTGGGCTTAATTTGTTTTTCTAGGCTTGGTCTTAGGCAAGCCTTTGGTCTGAAATAGCAAAACTCATAATATGTCTTGAAAATATGGATAAAACTGAACTTTTTGTTGCAAAGGGCTAGCAGGGAAAAAACCCCACGTTAACCATGCACAGAGTGATTGGTTGAAGTAAAAGCATCCCAGAAAGCTGCATGGATACATGTAGTTGATTTGAAGAATCTGATGCAGGCTCAGCAATTTTTCTACAAGCTGTAAGAATCTACTTCCTTCCAATAAAAGATGGAAAAAA